TTTCATTAGGTCTACGCTATTTCTAAACCCGTTTAGGTTACCTTAGTTCTTTCATTATCCCTAGCATGTATGGGTTTTCCTTTCTATGTCAAAATGCCTAGCTTGTAGGGGTTCTCTTCTATATGTCATTATCTATAGCCCTTAAGGGGTTTCTTTATGTCTGTAGTTAACCCTCCAGCGTTCCTATGCTTGCGACACGTGGCCTTCAACATGCCATGTTGGTGGATTGCGACCCAGTAATCCCATGCGTGCTCTCCCATGCATACAATCATACGTTTGTATATCTTATCCACTTTCACCCTGATACAATTGTCTATGCTAGCTTATTTCTCGAGACTCGTAAGGAATTCGAGAAAGTCTCAATCTTGGGGAGAGGATATTAACTATTGGAGACTCTAATGAACTTGGTCCTACAAATCATATTGAGGAGAGAAGGAAATCATTATTCATACAAGCCAAAGGCCTACAACGCCTCAAATGCAACTACCATTGGTGACTCCTCCATATCAGAGGCAACAAAATCAACAAGAGTCACTGCTCTATCAACATAATTGGTATACCCAAGAAGAGTCAAAGATCACCATACTTCTACAAGTCCAAGAACTAAGAAGTATATCTCCTAAAGTCAGTGGATCAATAAAAAAAGCTCATCTCTAGGATCATTAGACTTTATCAATTTCAAATTGTAATTTCTATGTTGCTAAGTTGTATTTGGTATAAACTTGTATCTTTGGATCAATAATTTTAATAAAATAAGCATGCATGTTTTTGAAATTAATCCATTCGTTTTACTTTCATCACTTTCCATATATAATCAACGACTTTTCCATTTCATCTTTCACCTTTAACAAACTTTGAGGGAGAATGATAAATACTAAATAACTGAATTTTTATAAACTATTCTTTCAATGGTAAGACCGAGCTGGAGATGTAAGGCATTGTTTTACTTCCCAAATAGTGGAGAAATAAAGAGTTAATTCGTAGTTAACCCCCTTGAGACAAGAGGTGGAGTTTTTTAAATTTTTCTAAAAACCTTTAATTTTAACCAGGGGCAGGGTAGTCTTTCAATTAATTCAATTATGCATTCAAAATCTCAGGAGAACCAAGTCAATCTGAGAAGAGGTTCAAGCACATTCTTTTCCTCGCATTCATCATCCAAGATTGAGGAATCAATAAAGATAAAGTCCACAACGTCTTCCTCCTCAGTACATCATTAAAGATCGAGAAAACAATGAAGACAAGCTTACAAAGTTAACATGACAGTCACAAGTATTCAAAATTAAAAATTAAAAATTAAAATAAAAAAAGAGAAAGCCCGCTAAGTCAAAGAAAAGAGATCCAAAATTTTTGACTTAGGCAAAAGTTAGGGCATCCTGATGGACCGGCAAGTTCAAAAGAATCAGTCCATGCAAAAATAAGGGATTCAAAGAAAAGAAATTAGAGAATAAGCTTGTGACTGACACATCAAGGATTATCAGTGCTTCTCATCAGTGCTTGAACTTTATTTACGCTTCTCATCATCTGTGCGACTACGAAATTTCTATTGGAGATTGAACGCATCTGTTGCATTAATTGGATTTAGGATTGGAGAACATTAAGGAGAGTGGGTAGGGTTTAAATAAAAGTTGAGCCATATATCATTTGTTTCTTAAACCACGAACCATGGCCATGTTACAACCTTCAAAAGTCCTAATTGAAGTAAGGTTAACTATGAAAGCATACTCGATAAAATTTGTGTTAAACTGACTCCTATATTTGTTAAAATTATTGCTAACCACTTCGCTTCTTCGAATCTTCATCTCTAATAATCCATTTCTTCTCCATGAAAACTTCGATTTCAAAACTTACATGAGCATTAAAAACATAATTACTTTTTAAAATGTTTAATTTTAGAGGAGAATCAATATTTAGCATCAAGGAGATTTAAAAAAGAATTGGTTTAGTAAAAAATATCCTTTCCAAGAAACTACTAATTAGGGGCAAAACATCTAGAAAGAACCCTATGATAATATGAAAGACTAATGATTGTATGGGCACATCACATGAAGATCCTATTGACTAGGGGAAATAGTTCTAAGATTCAATCAACTTGGATCACATTTCAAAGCGCCAATCAATCTGAGGCATACATTTCCAAGGCCCTAATAATTAGGGGCATACCTTTCGAAGATCAAATTCAGGGACATTCTTTAATCAAGTTCATATCACAACATGGTAGGACTCGGGTTCCTCTTTCTCCATCTTCTCAAGGCCCTGAAGTTCAGGTAAAACCTTTCAAGATTCAAATGTTTGGGGCATTTTATACCAAATTCATCTTACAACATGTAGGATCCAAGTCTCTTAAACAACTTCAAGTGCAAACTTTTCAAGATTCAAATACTTGGGGCAATCTATATCAGGTTCATATCACATCATGGTAAAATCCAATGGATACTTCCTCCAGATCCTGGAGATTGAGGGGTATATCTTTCAAAACTCAAATGTTGGGGCATACCGCTACGAGGCTCATTCAGAAGAAATTGGTTCAAAAAAATAGCCCATCAGGGGAAAGGCATTCCAAGAGTCCACAATCAAGGGTATAATGTTTCAAAGTGAGAAATAGTGGGGTCACTCATATTATGATCAAACTACTTCCGAGATCATATGAAGGAGAATCTCTGTAAAGACCCTACCAACAAATTGGAGCAAGACACTCCATGAAGGGGCAAGTTCTCTATGCACTTTCACTATCCCCAGTGAAACTCTCTCCTACATCAGCAATCTTTGATTTCAAAAAGAGTGTCGAGAAGTCATGCTAGCCTAACATCCTCTTACTTTTGACAAGAAAACTTGTTACTAGGCAACCTTTATTTTTACAAAGCCCAATTTACATTGGAAACTCAAAACCTAGTCCTTGTCTGGTAGTCAGTTCTTTTCTGACGCCTTATCTTGTTTCACCAGTTCTCGCTTGGTAGTCAATTCTCGTCTGATAGATATTTCAAAACCAGTAGTCAATTTCTATCTGGAAAATTATTTCAAAATAATCATCAATCTTTTCAATCGTGACATGGGCCTAGGAATACTTTGACCGGATTCAGGGCCTTTTTACTAAGCAAATCTAAGTCACATGCGTAAATTACTAATTCAAGTCTTAGCTTTCACTCTAGTACAAATAGCAACCTTGGTTGAGAACAGACGCAACCATTAGAGGTATCAAAATCAAAGTCATACTAGGAAGTATACCTACGATTCATATTTATAGCTTAGTCATCATCGTTCTATGAGCATACTATTCAAGCTTTCGATTGTCAAACTCTTCAATTTTCAAAATCGATTTTTCTTTTCAATTGTCAAAATCAAAATTTTCAAAGTTCAAAATTTTCAATGGTCAAAATCAAATCTTTCATATTCAAAACTTCAATTTCAAATTCAAATTTCAAACTCGCATTATCTACCCCCTAGGTTGTGGTAGATAGGCAAAATCTTCGATAACTTACTATGTTAGTCCTAAGGCGTTAGTAAGTTCTTTTTCAAAACCTATATTATTTATCTCCTAGGTTGTGATAGGTATACGAACCTGCGATATAATTCACTGTGTTAGTCTCCAAGCAACATTGAATTATCAACTCGATCTACCCCCTAGGTTGTGGCAGACGTGCGAAAATCTGCGATATAGTTTATTGTGTTAGTCTCTAAGCAACAATGAATTATCAAGTCTGTGTTATTTATCCTCTAGGTCGTGATAAATGCATAAGTCTGCGATATACCTTACTATGTTAGTATCTAACCGTTAGTAAGATATTTTCAACCCGTATCATTTACTCCCCAGGTTGTAGTAAATATACGAAATCTGCGATATAAGTCGTTGCGTTAGTCTCCAAGAGACAATAAGTTATATGTCTTTCTACGATATAGTTCATTGTGCAAAAAATAGTAAAAAAATATAAAAATAAATGAAATATTTTTCAGTTTTAATATTTTTCAAATCGTATCTTGTATAGAATCACAAATAGGACCAAATTCTTAAACTTGCTGACCAAGATAGAAATTTGGGCTTTTTATATTGGGTAATTTCCTTTTGGTGTTTTGAACCTAATTTCTAATTCTATAAATAAGGCTCTCTTCACCATAATTCCTAATTTCAAATTCTTAATCATTCCTGCGAGGAACATTCTTTTGTAACTTTAAACCTACGTAGAGTTACCCCTTATTGTTATTATGATCTAAACTTGTAGGGGTATTCTTTAGTTTAATCCGTAGAAATTTTTTAAGAGACTTAACAACTTTAATGTATAAGATAAAAATAAATAACTAGTGTTAAAAATTTTAAAATGTGATAGAAATAATAATTTTTAAAAATTAAAAGAGATTATAGAGAATCAATAATTAAACATTTAAAAAAAGAGTGTTAAAAAAATAAATTAAAAAAATAACGATAACAATAAAGTAAACAAATATTAATCATAAAAATTAAAACTTAGAAAATGATAGTTAGCAGTTCGTTAAAAAATGGAAGTTTTTAAATAAATGGATTAAAAATAAAAAAAAAATTAAATATTAATAAAAAAATTAAATGAAATAATTGAAAATTTTAAAATTTGATAGCGGCTGAATTTATTATTAGTTATTTACTAAAGTTAGTAAGAGAAAGCTTGATTAACAATGATAATTAATTAAAAATAATATTAATAATAATATTAAATTAAGAGTTATTGAAAATAAAATAACATAAAATAAAAATATGTAATTACTAAAACAATACTATTAAGTTTGATTTTAAAAGTTGTTTAAGAGATTTCATAACTTTAATATATTAGACATGTGATATTTAACTTGCTTGACAAATCACATAAACTAAAAAATGTCTCACATAATCAATAAAGAAATTTGATGACTAATTTGACATTGAATAGTCAATAACTAAAAAATCATTAACTTTTAAAACTTGTTTAATAACCATTCTCTTTCTCTCTCTTTTCTCTTTCACTGTGTTTTCTGTTTTTCATTCTCTGTGCAGAAAAATGGTGAACGCTTCTATTGCTCGTAACATTGTTGGAATCATAGGTTTGTTAATCACTTCTTCTTCTTTTTCTGAATTTTATTTTTCTGTTCGATCGAACTTTTCGGTTCCATCGAGCTTTAATATGTATCGCATTGTGTTGAATCGTTGATGAATGCGGTATTTGTGTTTAATTTCAGTTTCGGAAAATTTTCAGTTCAGTTTCAGTTGATTTTGTGTTTTATTTTTTGCTGATTAATTCATCGTGCATGAAGAATAGTGAAGTTTTTTTGTTGATCGATTCATCATGCATGAAAATTAATTTAAAATTGATTTTGAATTAATTTTAATTAATGTTCTGTTATGGAAATTATAGGTTTTTTAGTTAGCTTATCTTGTTGTACTGAATCGAGGTTGATTTTTCTGTAAGGTTTTAGATTTGCGTTGATTAGCGTTAAATTCGATCGGTTTCAGAAGTTTTTTAGTTGCAGTTAGTTAGTTTAAGCATTTTTGTGATAAAATGGATTCATGCATGGAAAGAATGATATGAACATTTTCTAATAATCGATTCTGATGAATATTCGGTTTTGTTGAATGCAGGGAATGTTATCTCCTTCGGATTGTTCTTCTCGCCAGCGTAAATTTGCTTTCTCTGTTTACTCTGTAGTTCTAGATTATGCGTGTGAATCGTGATTGATTTTGTGTTGTGAAGTTTATAGTGATACTCTTCTCGATTACACTGTTTAAACTATGATCATGCAAAATTTATTTTGTAGCTTATTTTCAATAAATCATTCTATAGTTTATAAAATTATATTTACTTCTAAAACTTTATGGATCTGCATTTTTTCAATTTATGAAATTGGTGTTTATCTACAATTTAGATCTTTATTTATTTATATTTTGGCTTTTAGAATTGGCTTTAGAAAATTTAGAGTTAAGTTTATAATGTGTTGATTATTTATTATTTATTGATATTAACTATTGGAATTAATTGCAGTCCGACTTTCTATAAAATTATAAAGAAGAAAGATGTGGAGGAGTTCAAGCCTGATCCATACATAGCAACTGTGTTGAGTTGTGCGTTTTGGGTGTTCTATGGATTACCTTTTGTGCATCCAAACAGTCTTTTGCTTGTTACCGTCAATGGTGTTGGGCTTGTTTTCGAGTTTGTCTATCTCACCCTATTTTATATCTATTCCAACATCAAAGGAAGGGTAAGTATATTATGTCATTGATCCGTTCATAAAAATTTGTTTTATTTTTTAAGTTAAAGTTATATATTGAAATGATGACTAAGTGTTCTCAAATCTATTTACAAAAAACACGAGAAAGAATTCGAGCAAAAGAGAGATTATAAATCAATTGAACCTACGATAAATAAAACAAAGGATTTTTGATAAACTCATAAAAACTATAATTAGGATGGGTAATATCACCGATAAAAGACCATTTCTAAATTGTTGCCTTTATGTTCCAAATAATGTCAAGAACATTTTAGTCATCGTTCCGGAAAATAACTTCATTCCTTAATAACCATAAATTCCAACAAATTGTCAACCACATGATTCCTTCCTTTCCTCCTTTCACTTTCTTGTACTTGCAATGATAATACCACCACATAAAACTCCCTTTTAAACCTTCTCCCGTGAACTCCGCGAGATCTATCCACTCCACCAACTCCCTCCATACCAACTTAGCGACACATCAATATAACAGAATATGATCTAAAGATTCTTCACTCCTCCGACACAAAATGCAATTTTGGGGCTCAAGTAGTAAGTTGATGCTTCTTATCTTTAATAAGTCCCTAATCGGGAGCCTATAGATAAAATAACGCCACCCAAAAGCCCTGATTTTGAGCGGCACATCCACCTTCCACACCAAAACCAACGCTTTGTCATGCTTATACGGAGGCCCCAAAGGGATGTGAAAACCTGCTATAGCAGAGTAACACGATCTGACTGAAAACTGCATGTTCAATTCTAATTTCCAAAACACCTTATCCGGACCTGTAGAAAAATGACCAACAACATTCAGCAAAATTCTCAACCTGCATAATTCTATAACTACAAGCTACTATCCCTCCTCTGTACATGGGATGCCAAGATCACCCCAGTTCCATCTATCTCCCACCCAGCCCCATATCCCTGCTACTGAAACACCTTGAAGCAGAGACACCGAGAAAAAGCCGGAAAAACATCCTTTAAACAAAAATCTCCAATCCAGAAAGAGAACCAGAATGAAGTTGAAAGCCCCATATCCCTGCTACTGAAACACCTTGAAGCAGAGACACCGAGAAAAAGCCAAAAAAACATCCTTTAAACAAAAATCTCCAATCCAGAAAGAGAACCAGAATGAAGTTGAAAACCCTCTGCATATCTCAATCTTACAGTTTTTGACAAACACAACATCTCTCAATCTCTTATCATAGTAATTAGATCAACACGCCAACATGATTTTAACTCGGTCTTTTTGAATACTACCCCCATTAACAACTTTGATACCGATATCACTGAAACGAGCTCGTAGGATTTTAAATCAAAGAGAATTCGAACCCTCAATTATCCTCCATCTCCACTTTCAAAGGAGAGTCGAATTGAAATCTTCAATTCTTTTTAGACCAAGGCCACCTTTCTAGATAGGAAGGCAAATGTTGTTCCACTTAACCCAATGTATCCTTCTTTTTTTCCTCCAAACCCCCCTCCCCCACAAGAACTTACTTTGTAGTTTGGTAAATTATTTAGCAACCTTCACCGACATTTTATAGAAGGAAAGAGTAAAGATGGAAAGAGAACATAAAACCAGTTTAAGAAGGGTGATCCTACCTCAAAAACTGAGGAAACGGCCTTTCCAACTATAGAGGCGTTTTTTCATTTTAAGTAAAACACTACTCCAAGTCGAAATCCTCCTTGGATTAGAACCGGTAGGAATCCCGAGGAAAGTGAACTCATTCGCTTCAATTCTACAAGAAAGAAAGGAAGTTGTAGCTTCAAGGAAATTGATACTAAGATTAATACCAATAAACTTTCTCTTGTGATAATTTATTTCAAGATCCTAAACAATCTCAAACGCTCTCAGCACTGCTTTAATAGCCAAAACATGTTTCCAACTTCCATCTCCCACTAATAAGGTATCATCTGCAAATTGAAGAATTTCGATTGGACAATTATCTTTAAGAACAAAACTTTCGTATTCACCATTCTCAACCTTGTTTCTCACCAAACTCGTCAATCCCTCTGCAACCAAGACAAAGAGAAATGGAGAAAGAGGATCTCCTTGTCTCAACCCTCTCTCCACCATAAATTCCTTAGTAGGATTATCATTAACGAGCACCGACACCTTGCTATTAAAAATCAACGCCTCCATCCATGTCATCCGTAAATCTCCAAATCACATCTTCTTCATCATGAATCTAAGAAAATTCCAACTTACTTTATCATAAGCTTTTTTGAAATCAACCTTAAAAAGCAAGAAACTCCTTTCCTCCTTCTTCACAAAGTCTACTAATTCATTAGCCACCAAAACTTCATCTAACAATTATCTACCAGAGATGAAAGCACTTTGACAAGAAGACACAATTGAATTAAAAACCGTTTTCATCCTCCCCGCCAACAATTTAGAAAGGGCTTTATACAAACACCCGACCAAACAAGTAGGTTTATAATTATCCAATCCCAACAGGTTGGGAGACTTTGGAATCAAATTCAAAAAAGAAGACACAATCGCATTCAATAAGATAACACCAGAATGAAAGCTATCAAAGAATCTAACAAAATTATCCTTAAGAAAAAACCAACATTTTTTGATAAAGAAGGAAAAGTATTTGTCGGGTGCTGGGCTTTTAGAACCCTCACAATTCCAAATAGTCTCCTTAATCTCACTTTTAGAAAAGTAAGCTTCAAGAAAACTTCTCTCGGATTGAGAAATGCAATTAAAAGAAATACCTTCCAATAAAGGTCTTTGACAATCCGATTCCGAAAAATTACTAGTAAAATGGGCGAAAACCTCCTCCTTTACCTCTGAAACCGATTCCAGAATACCTACCTGAGTGTTAATCCAACCTAAATGATTATGTCTTCTCCTCTCCTTCGTAACACGATGGAAGAATTTACTATTAGAGTCCTCGTCATTAAGCCACTTCATACAAGCTTTTTCAATGAGCATATTCTCCTTAATCCTAAGATTCATCCAAAACCTACTAGTTGCTTCTTTCCTCTTGACTATCACTTCCTCCCTCCTACAAACGTTATCTTTCTCCAATTCTTCATCCCCTTCGTTCATCTCCCTCACTTCCTCCTCCACGTTCAAATCGATCCTCCCGAATACCTCATTGTTCCACCATTTGAGCCTATCTTTAAGTAAACAAAATTTCTCCTTTAAAACAAAATCTCCCCTCCTTTCCACCTTCATTCCTCTTCACTCCTTTTCAACAAAAGAAATAAACACTTTGTTAGAAAATCATTCATTATTCCCCTTGAAAGGTTTCGACCCCCAATTCGAACAATCTTTCACTATCCAAATAGGACAATGATCAGAGATATCTCTCGAACCAACATGTTGATCAACCACCCCCCATCTATTCACTATCGCATCCGCAATAAAAAAGCGATCAATTCTACTCATCGCCTTCCCATCCCCACTATACCAACTACATTTTTTCCCTTTACAAGAAACATCAATGAGATGACTATCTTCGATAAATCCCACAAATTCATTCATCTCCGAACATCTTTCCACCATCGAGCTTCCTTTTCTTTCTCTATTACTCTTGACCGTATTGAAATCTCTGTCTATGATCCAATCTCCATTTGTTGATTAAATTAGTATTAAATGAAGTTTTTATTATGATAATCACTATTATTTTTTTCTCTAATTTCAGAAGAAGTTGCTTCTTTATCTTCTCATTGTGATTATTTTCTTTGTTATCATTGTTCTTATAACAATGTTGGCACTACATGGCACTACCACTCGATCCTTGGTGGTTGGTATTATTTGTGATATCTTTAATATAATGATGTATGTCTCTCCTCTTACCGTCATGGTAAGTAGCATCCATCACATTGTCACTTTATATAAAAATTAAAGGGTTAATATCACTTTACTCTCGTGCAATATAGACAAATTTTGATTTATTCTCCTATAAAAAAAATTGGATTGTTCCCTATAATTTTTTTTTTGTTTATCCCGCTAAGCATACAAATTAAACATTAAATTTAGGGATAAATAAAAAAAAACATTTTACAAGGAGATAATTTTTGTATTTAAGAAGCAAAAGATATAGAATTTTAACATTTAAAGGGGGTGGTCTAAATTTTCTTTTTATAAGGATAAATCAAAATTCGTCTATATTACATAAAGTATTGTATATTTAACTCAAAATTAAACTCTTATGTGTAAAGTATAGATTTCAATCCAAACTCATCTACCTTTTGTTATAAACAGGCAAAGGTTATCAAAACTAAGAGTGTTGAGTACATGCCATTTTGGCTCTCTTTGGCTAACTTCCTTAATGGATTGAGCTGGGCATCATATGCTCTCATTCACCCTCTTGACATTTATGTTCTGGTAATTAATCGAATAGTTATTTCTATATGATTTGTGTGAGTAAATAATTAGAGTTCAATTAGATGAAACATTAACTCATTAATTAACATGCCTATGTTTTAATTATCGCAGATCAGCAATGGAATTGGAGTAATTTCTGGACTTATTCAGCTTCTGTTATATGCTTATTTCTGGTGCAAGGGTGGAAAGAAAATTGATGAGGGTGATCATGTTCCAAAACCAACTATAGATGCAGTTTGATCTGATAACGGCACTTCTGTTTTTTATATGAAAAATATTGTATACAATGAAAAAATTTATTGGTTTTATCTTGGTGATTTCTTTTATAATTGACAAGGATTGGTTATTTTTTACATCAGCTTCAATGAATTTGTAGATGCTTATTGGTTTTATCTTGGTGATTTCTTTTATAATTGACAAGGATTAGTTATTTTTTACATCAGCTTCAATGAATTTGTAGATGCTTTCTCAGAAACATGATTTTCATTTTTTAATACTCCATGCATACTTATGGTTATATTATGCCTGCTTAATAACTTAATGTGAATATTACAAAACGCGCCAACAATAACGCTCACCTCATCACGATTCTTTTCAATACCGTGGTAACATTTCTATACTCAAGCGCTAACATTTTATTTTATTTTTTTATTAAAAATTGTTTAGCATATAATAATGATTGCAGCCATAACCGTAATTATAGAATCCAGACTTTCTTGGATTCGAAACTCAGTACCCTCACATATATTGTTCATTTAACATTAAGGCGCGTCTTTTCTATTTTATTTATTTATATATATAAAATAAAGGGTAACGACCACGGTTGGCAACGTCAACCGTTGTGAGTATATTTATATATAAGCGAATTAACTCTCGCTCTTTCACAGTAGCGCCCTATCTATCACAATAAAATCCTAGAACCTATTTTTTCTCTTCTTCTTTATCATTATTAGCATTCATATTCTACAGTATAGTCATCATCTTGTTCTTCTTACATAAATGTATTTTTTTTTTCTTCTTCTCATTTTCGTGTATGTTGTTGTTGTGTTCCACATGATTTTCCTATTAATTTCTTCTTGTTAGATAGTTTATGGTTCTTTTATTGTTGTACGTTGTTCTATGTTGTTGTTGCTGCATGTTGTGTTGTTTACAAATAAGTTTATGGTTTCACATTGTGATCGGTGGATCTGGAACTGACTGTTTTAAAGCTGGTTCGCGAAATGTCGCGGAAGCAAGAGTCGCCACCGTCTTTTATTTTCTCCAAATGGAAAGGACAAAAGCACAGAAAAATTCCTTAAAGAGATTGCTCTCGGTTCGGGAGGTAGATTATAGAAAGGGAAGGTGTTAGCACCCCTTCTATCCATGGTTATCCATGGGCTCTTAGATACTTGCTCAATGTGTTTTCAAAATTGTTTGTTTGCTTTTCAATGTGAGTTTCAAAAATATTCTTTGAAAAGTTTCAGTTCAACTCGTACGTCAGAGTGTTTGAAAAGTTTGTTTTGAAAGTTTTTGAAAGTGTGTTGGTGTGAAAAGATTTTGATTTGTTTTGAAGAGAGCAAGTATCCATGAGAACCTACCTACCCTAAGGAATTCGTCTGTGTAAATGTCCTTTAAAGTAGTGCCATCCCACCATTGAGAGGTAGGTAGCACCACCGTTGGAGGTGTTCGGGTCAATTCGAGTTTGTAGGGACATGGTGATCACCAGAGCAATGAGAAGACACCTTAGAAGCTACCCTCATGCCAGGTTCCCGGATCATGAGGACTTACTAAGACATCCTCTACTCGACGATCACCTTTCGAAAGGCGAGGCAACAGTGAGGCGTACCCTAGGGGTGGTGTGTGCGAATTGTGTGTCGTTTTCATTGATATTTGTCTTGTCATGTTTATTGATGTTCTACGCTTGATTTTATTTTTAAGGCCATTCATTCTTGCATGCTTTGTTAACAGTTAATATTTGCGGGAAAATAAATCTAAACTATTACAAATGGCGCGGGTCCACATCGCCAAAATTAAACCGGACCCGATTTGACGGAAAGTAAAGAAATAAAAGAAATAAAAGTGCGAGAAATTAAATTGTCCGAGTTACATGGCTTTGGGAGAGATACATAATGAATTAAGCGAAATAAAACAAATGTGCGAATAAAATAAATTACGAACGAGGGCGTTGGACCCTTTTGCAAAAATTTAAATTTAATGAGGAATTAGAATTAAAAAAAAAGAATGTTTTTGGTATTTTTGTATTTTTTAAGATTTAAAAGAAAAAAGAACTTTTTAGAATGAAATTTGAAATGCAAATCCTAATTCTAATGTTTTTTAGTTATTATGAAAATGTTATATTAATCTAAATTAAACCCTAATTTTTACTTATGTACATTTAATTATAAAAATAAAATAAATAAATAAATATAATTGTGATAAAAAAAAGGAAATTTAAAAGGTATAAAAAGTCATTAAACCTAATGCTATATTTTTGGATTTTTAGTTATTAAGAAAGTATTAAAATCTAACCTAAATGCAACCCTAATTAGTTTACAAGTTTAATTATGAAAATTACTAATATTATGGCAAAAAACAAGGAAAATTAAAAGGAATAAAAAAGTCATTAACCTAATGCTATATTTTTGGATTTTTTTATGGAAGAAAGAATTAAAGTTAAAACCTATTTTACTAAATTTATTTACATGTTAATTATTTACAAGAAAATAAATAAAATAAATATTTTTTATATTTTTATCCTTTTTCTGATTTTTTGATGTTTTTGTATTTTGTTAAAAAATAAATTAATTAAACTAATAAAGAAAATAATAATTTGAAAAGAAATAAAATAGAAAGAAAGAGAAGGCAAACCAAGGGGGGGGGGGGGGGGGGGGGGGGGTAGCCCCAATTTGGAGGTAAGGCCTTAGCATTTCAGGCCCATTTGTGTTATGGCCTTGCTGACTTTTTGCTAGCTTGCTTCAGCGTTGACTGGAGTTTATTGTGCTCCTTGAATCCTTGCCTTTGAATTGGCCCAACTGGACGCGTGGACGATCAGGCTTTGAGGTGTATGGTATGCCCTGGACGTTAGCACTGCATAAGATCTTGTATTGAAAAATATTATTGAAATTTATACAGACCTGGGGTTCGAACCCAGGTCTTGGACTTTGCAAAGTGACACCTGCACCACTGAACCAAACGCTTTTAATTTAACATATAACAACATATAAATATAATAAGTAAAACATAATGTTAGTGGATTAAAAACGCGCGAATTTCAAAAGCACCAATGACCATTGGACACGAGGTCATCTTCTCCACTTTTCCTGAAACCACAAAACAAAGGCCACGGTTTTTTATGCGTGGGTTTAGGCACCTTTAGAAGAAATAGCGAATAGCGCTATGTAACTCATAAATTGTTCGCGAAGGTTGATTCATGTTCGTCTCAATGTACTGAATGCAATGGTCATGGTCTGAAGCTTTAATTTTTCTTCTTTGCAAAAACCCCAATTTTAAAACCTGCAAACCCTAATATCCAAACATGGCATAATCTCGTATGATCAATAAAAACACAATTAAAAGTAATGGTTAGCTTGGAAACTTCATTATGAACAAGAATTCATCAATCAAAATGCAAAAAGATGTATGATTTGAGATATGCGATTTCAAAAGTTTCGAGGTACAGTCTGAGCTATAGATACCACTTCTTTGCGTCTTGGTTGATGTTAGGAATTGGCACACGTTCAGGAATGCCTAAGGAAACTATTGGAATCAGTATTAAGGCTTAAAACTCACTAGAACCTTGATTTCAGAATTGAGTTATATGGCCAATTTTTCAAGTTGTCAATAAGCTTTTGAGCGAGCCTTTTGCTGTATTATGGTTAGGGTTTGACTCAGTGCTTATGATGGAAGAGAATTGGCTTGTTATTTGACCTTAATTCATGCTCATGAAAGAACTAGTCCTAGGGTTTTCACCATTAACCAATTTTCCTTCTTTTAAGCCAAGACCAAGACTTAGTGTGCAATTTAACCCTAGCCTGAGTTTTTGAGTTGGCCTATGATACATGGAAGTTGTCCAAATTCAAATGACACTATTCCATTGGTTTTTGAATTTTATTTGAATTTTTAAAGATTTAAAATGAATTAAATTATCAAAAATTAAATAAAATAGAAAAATCAATATTTGGTCTTGAAATTAATCATGGGACACGTGTGTGGCATGACAAGGCTGAATCAAGTGGAAGAAAGTGGGCCCTTTTGTCAAAAATTGGAGTTTCAAGGATAGTTGACTTTTGCCATTTCACAAAAATTTCCCAACTTCTACAAGGCATAACTTGCTCAATTTTTAAGCTTTTCACATGTTATTGGACATTTTGGAAAGGTCTTTGAGTCCTTTAACCAATGCCTTTGGTCCCATGTGATTTTGATTTTCCAATCTCAAGTTATGGCCTTTGACTTAAAGTCCCTTTTTGTTGACTTTTGAAAATGACCTATAATGTTGAAATTGATAACTTTTTGTGAGAGCATTTCTTGGACTTGAAGTATGAAGATGAGTTGTAGGAAATGTCTTTCTCTTCAAAATGAGCTTTGGGTGGAATTTTTCTGATAATCCATGTGAAAGTTATGCTTTGGTCAATTTCAGTTGACTTTTTCAGCTGTCCAAATATAGCAACTTTTGCATCTTTGATGATTTCTGAGCCAATTTTTGAGAATCATGATCAAGCATTGATCAAATGATGTTTGTGGCTTCAAAATGATATATTGACCAAAAATTTGAACTTTTGACTGTCAAATGACCATTTTGCCCCTACAGTTGACTGTAGTGCAATTTAGTGTTTTGACTGTGCAATTTTGAGCTGAATGCCTTGAAACTTGATATGAGGATGCTTGACCATGTTTGTAAGCATATGAGACTTGATTGAGCCTTTGAACACTTTCTTTTCTTGATCAGACTCAAAACCCTAATTTTGACTGTATGGGAGACTGTTGTACTGCACAACCCTTGGGGAATTTTGTAGCTTGGCTTGGCAATTTCTTGAGGAATATGGGAGGGCAAATTTTGGGGTATAACAGTTGCCCCTGTTCAATCTTCTTAGACCTGAGGATGCAGATTGGCTGACGTGCCTTTCGTAATCCGAGGGTAAAAGATGATTGGACACTAGAGTGCCCAGAAATTTGCGCTCACATGTTTATGGGGGAATGGGCTTATAGATGCCATCTGGATGTTTGATTGCGTAAGAGATTCCTTAGCGAGAACCTGCATACCT